AAGTAGATTAAGTAACGTGAGCTCTTTGAAAAAATACTCTAAAACAATATAAAAAAATTTTTTATGAATTGTGTAACCGATCTACAAATGATGTGACGGTTCCCCCTGTTGAATTTCAGACAAGTTACATCATCAGCATTAATTAATGAATTTATAAAATCATGGTTTTTTTTTTTATAATTTTATTTGCAACCACACGGAAAAAAAGCCAATGCAATATTTACAAATTAAACAAACACCGCATGCAAGGAAAATTATATTTACATGCTAATCAGGAAAAAATAAAATAAAATAAAAAATTAACTTTGACCCTTTTCATAAAACAACATATATGCTTCTTGTTCTAATACTTTCGCTAAGCTAACTTCTTCAACATTTTCATCGGATATACGCCACCAAGCATTTGGTGCTTCTTCTTGACGTCTATATGTCACAAAATGACCGAGTCTATGATCACCCAAATGAACTATTACCGATTTTAATCGATAAATTGAAGCATCGGTGGCCTCACCGACGTTACGACGTGCGTCATTAATTTCTGCTAAAATAGGTGACAATACAGGTGACGAAGTAGTTGGTGATGCAGGTGGAGAGGAAAGGGGTTCGCTGGGCATTGTTGCTAGATAACCGGTAGTTGTATATTGTGCAAGATCTATGAATTCGGGAAATATAACTCTACAAGAGTTTTTCAAAGTCATCCCATTTTGAAGATAAATTGAACGAGAAAAATGAAGTGCCATAATCTCAGGGAGTTTTGCAAACATGGTTTGTTTTGTAGCCGGAAGGTTCATACGAATCAATTGTGCCACTTCTAATTTCAATTTACTATCATCAATGTCTACATCAGTAGCTAAGGCTTCCTTAACAATTTGTTTATCTGCCTCCAATTTATTTAAATATTTTTTCTCAGAAATAGTTAATCGATTTTCTATAACAGCCAATGTTTCCAATAAACTGCATTGTGGACAATTATATTCATCGATAAACTCAATTCCGGAATAAGTTTTAAGAAGTGTTTCCAGAGTTACAACATTCTGTTTTGGAAGAGGAATTGAAATGTTATCGAAAGAAGAATGCCTAATAGGTCCACAATAACCACATTTCATACAAGAAATTCGACATGCCGTTAACCCGATAAGAGGGTTTCGACCAGACGTTAAACTAATAGTAGTATATTTGTTATTATTAGCTAATAACTTTATGGTATCAACATCAAAAAGAGATTTTGGTCGTCGACTGATTTCATCTTCAACACTTAATGACTCTGATAAGAGTTGAAATAATTCATGTGCATCTTGTTGTTGTCTATTAATAAGACGTTTTATATTTGCTGTTTGTAAAGCCCAAACTATGCTCGTTGGATTAAATGAATCTTGTGAGGTTAATGGTTCATTAAGTTTTTCCAAAGTAGTATACAAGGCGAATGTTACCAGGCGTTCGTCGTGATTTGCGGTTGATTCAAGTTTTTTTCTTAGATATGTCCGTAAGTTCTTCAACGAAGCAAGACTTTGCAAAACAGCGTTGAGGAAACAAATATTATTTCCTTGGTTGAATAAGCCATAAACATAATTATTATTCGTCTTTCTATCTTCCGAAGCAGACTTTTTTTTATTTTTTGAGGATTTGCTTTTAGGTGTCGATGCAAGAAATGGTGTTGCAAGGGCAAATACTGCTATTGCTGTTACTACAAATGGCGCCAGGCTATTTTCTATATCCATAACGCTTTGTCGTTATGCCGAAAATTCGTATTACTAGTACTGTAAGCGTTATCATAAATCCAGTTTTTATTGTTAAAGAGGGTTGGAGAAAAATGAATCGGTAAATTATTTATGTTATATTATTTATGTGTGACACGTAATACCGTGTAACATAGCTGAAATTTAAAGTCACATCGATTTTCTAATTTTGGGAAGTTTCTAAAAAAATGTCTCACAGCTTGCAGAAACGTGTTGTTTTAATGTGAGTTATTATATTAAACTAGTCAAGTTTTCGTTCTCAAAAAGGATTGCGTTTTAACTTTAAAATAATTAATAGTACAGGTGCATCATCAGGCATAGGAGCAGCAATAGCTTTAGAGTTTGCCAAAGCTAATTCAAAGCTCATATCCTTGATAACCTATTGTACCAATCCAAGTTTAATGAAACTATATTGTGCTTAATTTTTTGAAAAACATTTTATTGGCAAGAAGACGAGACCGCCTCGATAACCTTAAATCCACGATTCTCGAAACTTATCCATCATGTGAAATCCATATTTGCGTTGTTGATATAAGAAATAAGCAAGAAATTGATAACGCGATTGCAAATCTTCCATCTGGGTTCAAAGATATAGATGTTTTGGTTAATAATGTATGAAAAAAATTTTCATAACATTTCATGGGATCTCTTTTAGTATAGGTGACGCTAGAGATTGAACTCGGTTAAGGATCACTCGGGTAACCTGAAATGCACCTGCTAACCGGGTCATAGGTATATTATTATCCAGATAATCAACTGGTATGGAGGGTACGAATTTAAAAAACCGTACCTAATATTATATTATTGTACGGGTCTTATGTAACAACCCGCGCTTTTTTCATTTACTTATTGGCACTCAGATCCGTATAATAATTTAAGGTACAGTTTTTTTTCAATTCATACGACACCCATACCGTACAGATGATATTCGTGAACGAGATTTAAGTAATAATTTTAACGACTTAAAATTAACCGGATTAACTGGATTACCCGGGTAATGTCTTATAAATGGATGGGTAACCTCGATCCAAATTTATATACGGGCTTGATCTCTAGGTGACACATTAAGCAAAACTTCATTATATCAGGATCACGGTTCTACCACGAAATCCCGACAAGACAGGCCATAATACTGACATCACCCGACGTGATAATTAAAACTTTAAAGCCTGACAATAACTGTTAATGTCTTTAAATATTAATTGTCACGTCGGGATTATGGTTTCGAGATTTTGGATGTCAGTAGAACCCGGGATCATGGGATTAATCAAAAATACTCATGGTACATTATTACTAACATGATTGTGTGATCAGCTCCGACTCGACTGGGTTTAGAGTTTAACTAGATTTTAGACCCCAAACAATGTCGGATCTGAACCAATGCACAATAATGTTTTATACCAGATCATTATATCAAGATCACGGGTATTTTATTACTAATTTCCGGAAACTGAATGTTACTAAGGGATCCCTTTCGTGTTTTAAGTTTTCTAGCATTATCTCTAATATCAGTTTAACATAGGCCGGCACAGCATTCGGTTTCGATCCGTTAGAAGAGAATTCTCAAAAGAATATTCAAACAACAATAGAAACAAACGTTTACGGTCTAATATATATGACTCAAGCTGTATTACCGAGAATGAAGGAACGGAATTCAGGGGATATTATCAATATGGGGAGCATTTCTGGTATACCATAATTTACATAAATCGTTCGTAAACCATATTAAATTGATCAATCATGAATCCCTTATAGGGAAAGGAACTCATGGAAAAGGAGATGCCATATATGCTGGTTCGAAGTTTGCTGTTGAAGGAATTACTGAGTAAGTACCTTTTACATTTTATTTTTTTTTTATAAAATAATTTTTTTTTTGATGACATTCTTAGCCATTATTGGTACCCTAACTATGGCGAAAAAATGCATTGCGCACGTGATCTAATTCCAATCAAATAATATAACACAATCATATTATCCGATATGCTTATATAAACACCAAACTATTTTTTCAGCCACCTCCTAATACAATACACAAATTTTCACTCACCTCTTAAGAAATGAGTGAAAATTTGTTTATTTGTATTAGGAAGAGGCTGAACAAGTTACACGAGAATCGTTCAGTTTTACGTCAGGCATGTTGGATTACTATGTTATTGGTCAAATTGTGGCCGATAATCACTGATTTCTTTGCAGCAGATATGCGTTATGACGTGGCATTCGGCCGCGTTATAAGCACAACGTCCTAGCGAATAATCAGTTACCATACACAACATGACCAATAACAAGTACTTACAGTAAAACCTTCATAAACAATGCTGTTAATTGGAGGATTGGAGGATATTGATCTCCCAATAAGTTCCAATTGTAGTGCCTTCTAGTCATTAATCAGCTTATTGGAAGGTATATTGGAAGCCAACTTAATATAAATCATTAATTTTGTTTGGTTAAAATAAAGAGTGTATTGGAATCTTCAATTATTCAATGTTTTTATTAGAATCCCAATTTCAATAAAATTGATTCAAAGCTTCCAATTAACAACATTGCTATAAGTGCACGCTCTGGAAACCAGACACTTGGAGAAAGAGTGTATTTAAAGAATAGCCAATAAAAAAACAGATATTGTTGTATATATTTACAATAATACTTCTATAGGTGCACGCTCTTAAAGGAGAGAGTACATAATCACGATATAACCTCGGGTTATTGCTATGTAAATATCACGTGCACGTATTTATAGAAGGTATTTCTATATATCTTGAAGATTAGACAATTGTTTACATTTAGAGAGGAAGTGCACTTATGGAGAGTGAACTTGAGGAACATGGCACGCTGGGGTGATCATTATACTAACATTAATTAGGGTCGCATATGATAAATTTTTATGAAAATCCGAATTTACTGCGGGTAATATCAACTTTCGGTACGCTTTTCTCTTGAACTAGTATAATAATTAATGTCTAATTGTTTTTTAAAAGATAGAGCAAATTGTATACTTTAATGAAATAGAGCCATATTTTCAATTTACGCTATTTTGTACTATAAAATAACGTAAATCTAAAAATGGCACTATTACATTAAAGTATATAATTTGCTCTATCTTTTAAAAAACAATTAGCATGGTCTCACCATTAATATTCAAAAAAAAAAAAAAACAATTAGACATTAATTATTATACTAGTTCAAGAGAAAAGCGTACCGAAAGTTGATATTATCCGAGATTTTCATAAAAAATTTAGCATATGCGACCCTAATTAATGTTTGATTTTACTAGCATGATGATCACCCCAATGGCACGCCTAAAATAATTTACATGCCATTTAACAAATAGTACGCCAGAATGCCACCATGGCATACTATATGAATGACGAACAGGGAAAACCTGTAAATCGTGCTTTCTGAATATTTTTAATAGAAGTAACTTAAAAACCAAGTAGTTGAGTACTTAAAATTTTGATGCTATTTAAATCGTCTCATTAAGGCGATTTAAATAAAGAAAATTACAATTCATCGCCAGTTGCGATGCATCGCTACCCCTTATTAACCAATCATTTGACTTGTTTTGATTTCACGTTAATTAAAACAAAACAAATAGCTACTGGTTAGAGTTAGGTTAGGGTTTGGTTAGAAATAGATAAAAACTCTTTTCTAACCCAAAATTTCGCGAGTTTTTTTTTTGTTAGAATAAAAAAAGCAGTTTCATCGATTTTTTTAAAAAAATCACAATCGCTTCGATTTTCACGTTACACCTGATCCTGCATCCTGATTGGTCGATCAGGTAGCGATGCATCGCACTGGCTAAAATATTATTAATTTTGCTTAGTCAATTAAATTATATGAAGATGATTCTATAATAATTTTATAGCAAAGGCATGTCTTAATAGATTTTAAGTATTTTGGCATGCCAGTGCATGCCACTAGTTACTGTATTGTGTTTTTATTTTAAAGTTATTCCTAGTTTACAATTTGATTGGACTATATCACGTGCACCGTGCCTTTTCGTCATGACCAAGGGTATGTTATTATTAAAGGTCTCTAAGGAAAGAACTCTTATCAACCAAAATTCGAGTTATTTTGGTTAGACCAGGTAAAATACCATATATCTCTTTATTTAAATATTATCAAATTTAATTTCTTTGGTGCAATTATTAAAAGGTGCAGTCAAAAGTGAATTCACGCTGGTCAGAAGTTATGGAAACGCTGATTTTGCGAATGCTTATTATTCAAGTTACGAACCGCTCGTTCCTCAAGAAGTTGGTCAGTTTATTAATTTTCATTTATTTATTTATTTATTTTGTTTAAATTTCTAATAATTATATTTATTCCTAATTACTAGCTGAATGTGTAGTGTTTGTAGCAACCAGACCAACAAATGTCGTGGTTTCAGAAATAGAAATACTGCCAAATGCACAGGCTGATCCTCAAAGTTTGTTTATCGAAAACCGTGAGGAATATCTGAAAACTTTAGCAGATAAATATCACAAATAACAATAGAAATATATCACAAGAGCGAATAAATTATTATTATATGATATTTGATATTTGATAGGAATATTATGACATATTAATAATATTTTTAAATAAAATTTATTGTTCATTTATTAATATTGATTCGATCTCTTTCAAAGGGTATTTTGACAAATTGACGTTCGTATTATGATTATATCAAAAAAGCTTGGGAATATAAACCACTAATATTATTCAAATAAGCTTGACAAAAATTCGATTTGATTGACTTATAAAATCTTGAGTTATACAACATGAAAAAAATTTTAAGCCTTATTATGGAAAACTATATTGTCAATTGGCAATGTGATTTTACATAGTAAA